GCTGCACTTGCTGCAGGCTGCCATCCGGGAGGTCCATTGGGGGGCTGTCAGTATCCAGGAGGCCCTGCGGGAGGGCTTCCACCCTGAGGAGCACTAAGAGCCTCCTGGTCTGTCCCACTAGGGGCTTGTGCCTAATTCCGCCCTCACGTTCTTCCACTTACCCCTCCCTAACCCCCCTTCTTGATGTCAGATGAAACACATGTATTTTCGTGAACACAAACTCTCTTTATTTAACAAAACTCGGGGGGAGGGAATGAAACTCTGGTGAGACTGGGGAAAGGAGGTGGGAGAGGGGAGAAGAGAAGGTGAGAGAAGAGAGGGGGAAACCTGGGAGGAGGGAGCTGGAAGGGGGAAGCAAGGGGAAAAAGGGGGAGGGGAAGCTCAGGGCTCAGGGTTGGGGGTCTCGCCAGACCAAGTTGATTTTCATGCAAACCTGCTCCTGGGTTTGCATGTGGCCTTTAGTGGCCAGGCTGGCAGCTATTCTACCATAGACAGCCACATTCCTCCATCTAGTGCAGAGATCATGGACTTTGGGGGCATCCCCCCAAACCTGAATAAGGTCCATGATCTCCACCCTGGACCAGGAAGGCACCTGCCTTCTCCAGTTCCTGTCAGGCTCCAGGGAGCTGGCAGAGTACTCCTGGGGAGCAGTGGAGGGCTGGCTGCCAGTGGCTTGCTGGCTCATGTTTTGGGGCTACTGGGTCAGGGGCAATGACTGCTGGCTCTGTGGCTAGAGTCTACCCCTTTAAGGGCTCGGGGGGTGGGGGAGGGAGAGAAGTGTTTTTGGTTGAGGCTGGAGGCCTCCTATTTTGAAATAAGCATCTACACAGCATTTATTTTGAAATAGCTATTTCGAATTTGGCATTATTCCTCGTAGAATGAGGTTTACCAAATTTGAAATAAGCGCTCCACCATTTCAAATTAATTTCAAAATAGTGGTTTCTCTGTGTAGACGTTAGGAAAGTTATTTTGAAATAAGGGCTGTTATTTCAAAATAACTTTGCTGTGTAGACATACCCTAAGTTATTTTGATAGTACAGTGTATGCTATTAAAACAGTATTTTCTGGCAGCTATTAATCCAGGGAATTGAGATAACACTGCAATTTCCTATCACAAGTATAGAAATAAATAATAGTATGTCTATTTATTTATTTATTTATTCAAAATATTTTTATATATTTATAAATTATGGTATATTATATACCACCAGATTGAAACTAGTGGCAAATGCAGGCTTTTAAAATGGTGACTAATGTATAACGTGGTTGTGCTGTGGTTATATTTGGGAATGACACTTCCGACTTTCAGTCCAAGCTTCACACCCCATTTTTGGATTATTGTAATTTTTTAGGAAAATTGACTTTTGGGATTAAACATTTCTTGTTTTCCTACAGCCTAAAAATTATTTCTTTTGGGAAAGTTTCATAAAAATTAGTTGTGCCCTTGCAGAGTTCCTCCAACAAGAGGAGGTGGCATGGGGGATTGTCAAAGTATGACTAGATGTCCAAACTTCTCATGGATTTACCTCTTAACAGGGAAAAGTGATGCAGACACATGTCAACATTTCATTCAGAAATATGTTCCACAGCTTTGAAATTATATATCATGCCAGGTGAGCATCCTTGTCCTTGGAACAGGTAGGGCAGGCACAGGCTGTCTTATGTGGTTAAAATATCCGGGGTAGCTGGTGTTGGCCGCTGTTGGCAGACAGGCTACTGGGCTAGATGGACCTTTCGTCTGACCCAGTACGGCTGTTCTTATGTTCTTATGTTCTAAGCTCAGGGCTCAGGGTCAGAGGTCTCACTGGACACCTTGATTTTCATGCAAACCTGCTCCTGGGTTTGCATGTGGCCTTTGGTGGCCAGGCTGGCAGCTATCCTGCCCTAGACAGCCACTTTCCTGTGCCTAGTGTGGAGGTCGTGGATGTTGGAGGCCTCCCCCCAAACCTGGATGAGGTCTACGATCTCCGCATTAGACCAGGAGGGCACCCACCTATTGCGACCCTGGGCAGGCTCCTGGGAGCCGCCAGCCTGGTCCTGGGAAGAGGCTGAGGGCTGGGTGGCAGCTGGTGGCTGGCTTGTGCCGTGCCGGGTGCAGGGTCTGCTGGCTGGGTGCTGGCAGGGTTGCACCTGGCACGGGCACAGAAGCAAGACCCTGCCCCTTTAAGGGCTCCGGGGCTGGGAGGGGGGCAGAAGAGTTTCCCTGGTTGTACCCAGAGTGGCCACCAGGGCAAGCTGGGAAGGGCTAGCCTCCCATTAGTTCGAATTAAGTGGCTACACAGCCCTTAATTCGAACTACTTAATTCGAACTAGGCGTTAGTCCTCATAGAACGAGGTTTACCTAGTTCGAATTAAGCGCTCTGCTAGTTCAAATTAAGTTCGAACTAGCGGTTTGCATGTGTAGCGCCTATTAAAGTTAATTCGAACTAATGGCTGTTAGTTCGAATTAACTTTGTAGTGTAGACATACCCTGAGTGGCCAAGTCAGACCTGGTTCCCTTACCTCCTCCAGATGACATTGATGCCCCCTTGGTACTTTCCACCTGTTCCCTGCTTTCTCACTCAGAACAAAGGAGGCCTTCATCACCCCAGTGTTCAAACCCTACAACTCCAGGCTTGGCTCCTCACTGGCTAACACCACTTGAAATAGCGTGCTCTGCACTGTTTCAGGAAATTCTCCTTAGTTGTTGTAGGCATCTACAAGAAAAATGGCACCAGTTCACACTGTGATACAACAATCAACATATCTCCCCCACATCAGCTGACCTCTCTCAGGGTATGTCTACACTAGCCCCCTAGTTCGATTTAGGGAGGCTAATGAGGGTGACTGAAATTGCAAATGAAGCGCAGGATTTAAATATCCCGTGCTTCATTAGCATGTTCCTGGCTGATCGCCATTTTAGAAATTGACTAGCCTGGAAGAACTGTCCGATTCTACACACGGCAGTGAAATGGGATTCCAAATTAAAGCCCTAAATCGAATTAGCTGTTATTCCTCCTGGAATGAGGTTTACCAGCTAATTCAATTTAAGGTTTTAATTCAGAATCCCATTTCACTGCCGCGTGTAGACACAGGCAGTTCTTCCGGGCTAGTGAATTTCTAAAATGGTGACCGGCCAGGAACATGCAAATGAAGTGCGGGATATTTAAATCCCATGTTTCATTTGCAATTTCGGTCGCCCTCATTAGCCTCCCTAGATCGAACTAGGGGGCTAGTGTAGACATACCCTCAGACAGTTGAGTACCTTTTGCTCCTCAAGAACACTAGACTCTCCCTTAGCTCCATAAGAGTGCACCTGGCCTCGTTAACACTGCCTCACCTTCCCGTGGAAAATTACTCAGAGTTTGCACACCCTACCATCAAATGCTTCCTAAAAGGACTTCAGAATACATACCCCACAATAAAAACCCCAGCTCCTGCTTGAGACTTAACTCAGTACTAAGGACAATAATGGGCAAACCATTCAAACCGCTGGCTACCTCTAATATCATTAGCTCACAGACATTTACCTTCCCCCCCATCCTCCCTCTGTTCTGAAATTTGATTTGTCCTTTTTATGTGTTCACTTTTTTTTTGATTGTATCCCTTTGGTATATATGGTCATGCCTATTTTCTTCCACTATTTGATCTGAGGAAGTGGGCCTGGCCCACGAAAGCTCATCACCTAATAAACCATCTTGTTAGTCTTTAAAAGTGCTACATAGTCCTGTTTTTTGTTTCAACTTATCTATGAAAGTGATCTTTCTAGTAGCCCTCACTTCAGCACACAGGGTGGATGAGATTGGGACCCTCTGTATACCATCTTCCACAAAGATACGGTCATCTTCTGTCCACATCCCAAGTTTCTCCCAAAAGTACCTATGTCTTTCCACTGTAATGAACCTATATAATTATCAGTCTTCTTTCCAAAACCTCATGCTAATAACAGGGAGGTAGCCTTATATACCTTGGATGTCTGCAGGGCAATTGTCTTCTACATACAAAGAACAGGACCCTTCTGGAAGTCTCCGAGTCTCTTCATTTCTTCCACAGAGAGCTCTCAAGGCATGCGTATCTCTAAATAAAGATTACCCAAACGGATCTCCAGATGCATCTGCTTCACATTCAGCATTTTTCATCAGGAGCCCCCAACAACAGTAAAGGCCCACTGCACAAAAGCAGTGGCAGGATCCATGGCTTTCCTTAAAAATATACCTATAAATAACATCTGCTGAGCTGCCACCTGGGCATTTACACATACTTTCACTACATCATAGAGACCTGTTCAGTCTCCAACACCTAATTTGGATGCACCATACTATCCATGGTCAATACAGACTTACCAAAGTTCCCTGCACCAAGCACGGTTACTGCTTCATAATCACCTAAGGTGGACCACCCACAGGGATACTCCTCGAAAAAGAAAGGAAGGTTACTCTCTTTGTGCAGTAACAGAGGTTCTTCAAGATGGTTGTCCTTGTGGGTACTCCAACACCCACCCTTCCTCCCCTCTGCTTCAGAATGTTTCTTTTGTGGGCAGAGAAGGAACCGAAGGGGTAGTTGGCTACATGTGCAGAGTAGACACTCCAAATAGCACGTGCTGGCTGCTCCACATGCACAGCCTGCTGAGGGTATTCTTACCATAATTCTCTGATGAGAAGTGCAGCAGTGCTCCATCACCTAAGGTGGAGACCCCACAGGGGCAGCCATCTCGAAGAATCTCAGTTATCGCACAAGGTGAGTAACCTTCTTTTGCACAACTTACATTTTAGAGTCTCTTCCATTCTTTGCCTCACTACCTCTGTTGCTGTCATAGCCTTGTCACCTAAGCTTCTGTTAAGAAGAAAAATAAGCACATGCATTCCCTTTTCTACCTCCCACTCAACCTCCCCAGTTTTCAGATTTGTTAACTGCCTACTAAGCTTCTGGCTGCTCTCATGCTTTCAATAGACCTTGTACACTAGCCAGGATATTGATTTTTTACTGTAGAACATTATTTTAATCTTAACTGCGTAAAATTTTACAGAAAGAAAAAATACGACCAGAGTCTAGAAAGAGATTTTTGTCAAAACTGGAGCGAAAACAACCTGTTCAGAATGGTGAAGTGTCTTCCTTATTAGGAGTTCAGGCAGCAGGGTAAGAGTGAACAGAAAAGTTCTTGTTATAATATAGTATCTAGTTATATTTACAGTCTGATGTGATACACTGTTAAAAAAATCTTTCTTCATTCAGTGGTGCAATATCTGCTTATGAATTAATGAGTAGTCCTACTCTGAACAACATATATATAATTCAAAATGTATCCCTTTTCTGGGGATTGGCTGTTGCTGATAGTTGAAACAATGCTTGCAAATGTCAAACTTACTCTATAAACCCCCAACTTGGCTGTTCCTAAAATTTCTCTGCAGACACCTTTCTACATCAGACTCTAGTTCCCTTTCTTCAGATAGTCTCTTTCACCTCCCTTGTAGCTTGTATGGAGTTAAAGCCATACTTGTCACAATGTGGCTGAAGTTATTCAGCAGTTTCATGTACAGTTGATTCCATAACCACAGATTTTGCTGAATATATCCTTATGACTAATAAGAAATAGCCTCTTCAGGTATTTTAGGATCATATAATCAAGGGAAAAGTTGAGGCTCATCTGAGGCTATTTCTCTCTAGAAGTGTCTGCTAGATCTAGAACTGCAAGTGAGATTAGGGGCAATAAGATGGCTAGTGGACTTGAGGAAGAAAAACTCCAGTGAGGATCCAATCCAGGATTCAAGA